TCTCTCTCTCTCTCTCTCTCTCTCTCTCTCTCTCTCTCTCTCTCTCTGAACGGTGGAAACACGTCATCCCTCCGGGGAGATGCGCAAGTCGTCTAGCGTTTAAATTCGTAAAAGCACACGTAACACACTCTGTTCCACTAAATCGGCCGAAAAAAAGAACATCCGCCGGCACGAGAAGAGAAGTGACATTTCGCGCAACAAAAGACGCGCTCCGTTTTACCCCGTTCTCTCTCTCTCTCTCTCTCTCTCCGTCTCAGTCCTCATCCCTCTTTTCTCCCTTCACCCTCTCACTCCGTTGCTTGTGCACACACACACTCGTACATGCACACGTACACGCACACCTGTACGATATCTCGCGTTCTCTGTTTCATAGTGTTCACCCCCACCTCCCCATAGTCGCCCTTTCATCCCTTACGCACTTTCGTCTTCCTCGTTCGGTCTAGTTTCCCTAGTCGATACGAGAAAATCGAGGACAGAACCGAACTATTCTCCTCTCTCACCGTACACATGCCGTTATTCCCCCCGTTGGTTCTTATCTCGAGCACCGAGTCCTCTCTACGGAGCATCATCATTTTTTTATACACGGGGTAGACGAGGACGGATCGTACGATCGGCCATAGGACGATTCCTCGCGTAACAATCAATCGAACGTGTCGAATAAAAGTTTCGCGAACCTAATACCGCAGACCGAACCAGTAGAAAAATAGAAAGGACAACAATTGCCAAATCGTGATTATTACCGATGCGCCGATAAATGAACGAACACGAGCAAAAGTAATAGTTTGTAGCGAGATGGTCAATCATGCTGCCCCACGAACAACAAAGGCTCCCATCAAAATATTATTCCATTCCACATTTTCGATGTATTTTTACACGCGTAGCCACTCTACGCTTGATTGTACCACCCTACCCTCATCCACCCTGCATATATAATATAATATATTGTATATATATATACGTTATGTATAAAGTGTGATTTCCTTTTGTACGACGTTATCGCTACATATGTTATCGAATAGTTTTCGTCGTGTCACTCGTTCACAGTGTCAAATATACTTACAATAGAAATATATTAAAATTGCAAAGTTTTCACGGAGCACGCCGGATATATATATGTACATATCCTGTCCGTGGCGGCGCGATTAATACTGTTATCTATCACTTATCGTAACGAATCTCACTATCATTAATACTGACTGAGGTCCTCCTTACGTCTCTCTGTGTGTACCTGTCTGCCGCGTAAGTGAGTGCGTGCGTGTATGTATGTGTGTGTGTTTGCGTACGCGTGTGTCTGTGCATATGTGTGTGTGTTTTTATGCGTGGCGTATAGCGAGAGTCGGGCAGTTGATGTTTGCGTACGTGTGTGTCTGTGCATATGTGTGTGTGTTTTTATGCGTGGCGTATAGCGAGAGTCGGGCAGTTGATTTAATTCGTTTCTTACAGACTGGCGAGGAACAAAATTTCCATCCTTCGAACGAAACTCGAGGCTACCTGTGTAGTTTGACTTTCGACAGAGAATGAAAACGAGAATGCCCGACTCCTACGTCAAAGGATTCTTTTTCTTCTCTCTCTCTCTCTCTCTCTCTCTCTCTCTTTCTCTCTTTGGGATAATTCCCGTGAATGTTAGCCATCTCTTCCTCCTACTCCTCGTCCTCTTTCTCGCCTGATTCCCCTCGATCTCTCTCGTTTCCGTCTCCATCTTTAGGTTCTTCTTCTCAGGCGACGTCTCTTCGACTCCTCGTCGCATGTTCGAGAGGGACGAGAACTCTCTCTCTCTTTCTCTCATCTTCGACATTTTTTTTGCGTTTTTTTCTCTGTTTTTCTTTTTTTTGTTTGTTTAGATAGGGCAGTGTTGTGGACGGTTACGGAATCAACGATCCGTAATCCCAAAAAATGTTTCCTACAAGTATACATACTATTTAATAAGTACATATTTCAACAACCGTCTTTAGAACTAAGTTTATAACGTATCGTATGACATTTTTTTTTTTTTGCTCTTTTATTATGACGCATCCCTTTTTGTTTTATTATGAAAACATTTTGAAAAAAAAATCACGTTTCGCTTCCGCTCTCGTTTTACCCCTCCTCATTCCGTTCATTATCATCATAGTTGTCATCGTCGTCGTCGTGGTTGTCGTCGTCGTCGTCGTCGTCGTCGTCGTCATTGTCGTCATCCTTTGCGATCTCTTGAATCATCTCGAAAAGCCCCCTCTCTGCATCTCGATACATACTATATTAATAATAACCATTGATAGGTGTATAATCTATCTATCTATCTATCTATCTATCTATCTATCTATCTATCTATCTATCTATCTATCTATCTAGTAAAACAGCATCATATTAAAGTCTATCCTCCTCTTCTTCCTCGTTATCCTCGTTATTCTCCTCGGACTCCTCCTTGTAGCCAGGATGCTCTGAGATCGCGTAGTAGTTCCCGTTGTAAATCACCCCGAGCTCCCTCAACACGTTTCCCCTAATGATCGCCTTGATCGTCCAGTTGTAACACTCCTCGCTTTCGCTCTCTCTGTCAAGTCGCTCCACGTCGAGGATCTTCGAGCTGAGCCGTTCGAGGATGATCCCGATATCCTTGATGCTTAAGTGTTTCTGGTCTACGGTGAGCTGATCGATGAGCAGTAAAAACTTCTCCGAGGTCACGATCTCATCCTCCATGATCGTGTTCTCAGTTTCCGACTCGGAGCTGTCGTGCTCCTGATGATGATTGTGATGATGGTGGAGATGAAAGCTGCCAGCCGAGTTGCCGGCCAAACGCGAACTAGACTCCTCGTCGGCGGTGTCGCAGAATCTCACGTGACCTTTCGCCAGACCGGGTCGCCTGGTACCGTCCGACAACGAGGACGGAGGTTGAGGCGACGAAGTTTGCGTCTGCGACGGTTGCTGTTGCTGCTGTTGCTGGGGATGCTGATGATGATGTTGCTGCTGCTGCTGCTGCTGCTGCTGATACTGCTGATGTTGTGCATCCTGGATCGGCGAGGTGGCCACAGACTTGTGCACAGCGATTCTGCGACCCTCCTCGTGTAGCGCACAGCAATGGAAGTCGCATTCTCCGCTGGCTCCACCAACTGCCCCGTTCACAGGGCTACCGTTCCTCACGACAGGCTGGTGAATGTGGTTAGAGCACTCAGGCGTGTGGATATGGATGGTGGTGCTGTCGAACGAGTTGGTACCCTGCTTCACCAGTCGACCTGGGATCCCGTGCGGCTGTGGCTGCGGCGGCTGCTGCTGCTGTCGTGTCACCACATGGTGCTTTTTTTAATCGAGCTTTGTCTTTAATCGAACTACTGTGTGTACTCGAGGCTTCCGGGGCTCGAATCGTGCGGCCTAACGGCGTCCTGGATCTCCATGGAACACACTGGCGCTCGGTGTCTCCTGCGCCATCGAGAAAGCGACTCGTTACCCGGAAACCTCGCGTTTAATTGTTTTTTTTTTTTCGTTTTCTTTTCTTTTTTTTCTTTCTCTCTACAGAGCGAAATGACAAGCAATACCGAAGGACACGCGACAAGCAATACTGAAGGGAAATAGTAAATATAGAAAAAAGAGAGAACGCTCTCGTACCATGTCGTCATGATTTATCACAGTGATTTGAGGGCTGGTGTAGCGGCTGGGACCGATCTCCCCCGCCAGGTGTCCCGACTTGCTATTGTAATTGAGCTTGTCCAAACTGGTCTGGATGACCAGCGAAGGTCGCTGGCTGCCACTCAGATCGGTTTTCTTCGTTGGCGAATACTTGGAGGTTTGCGCGTCTGGACCCTTCTGCTGCTGTTGCACCTGCGACGACGTGGATGAACGCTGGTCCCAGTGCAGCACCACCGTGACCCGTCCCTTATTGTCCATGATCTTCCACGACGGCGTCTCATCGTGCAACTCCAGCGCGTGGATCGTCTCGCAGACTATTTTCGGTATGGCTGAAATCGCTGGAACACATCGAGCACAGTGTCAATGCCGCGCCGTCTCTCCTCGATACCTCGTTCACATTCCCTACAAACTTTGATCGAAAAATAATCGAATCGTATCGTTGCAATACTATCCGAAGCATCGTAATTCTATAATTTCTTTTACATTCGCATACCTTTCGATCAAGCCTCGATGCGCTTAGGTCTCTACCCAATGCCATTATCGATCTTTTCTTGGGGCAACGTGAGCGACCGTACACCCACGCCGCGTGTACCGTGGAACAAATCGTTATCTGATCGCCCTCTTCAACGAATCTGCACTTTTGTCCGATTGTACTTATGAATCGATACTCCGTCTTCTATTCACGGAGAACTAGCGGCCGCTGTGGCGCCGCTATTATCACCGCGAAACTCACTTTGCCGGTGTTGTAAATATTTTACCTGGCTTCGAGTGTTTCTGACCTATAATTTCACGCTCGATGCGTCTCTCACGGTTGTTTTCTATAAAAATAACTCCGCTTCGCGTATTCTGTTGCTCGTTATCCTTGTGAAAAATCCCTCGTGTTTTTTTTTTTTCTTTTTTCTTCTGTCGCCTCTTTACCACGCGGCATGTAAAAGAACGGATAAAAGATCGATCGAGAAAGAGATTGCGAAACTCGTTCCGCCAAGCCAGAAAAGTGTTTCGCAGATCGTCTTTCTCGGTTGGGGTAGAAGCTTCTGTTAAATCGAGTTAAAGTTGCACGATAGAATGTGCACGGACAACATTCGGATCAGCTCGTGACGTTCTTAATTCGTCTAATTTATAGGGCAATCCTATCAAATCTTCGATAGATACCGGCGCGTATGATGTCGACCCCCGTTGGAAACCAGCGTTCACCATGCCGCAGCAACAGCAGGATCGTGTTATTCGCTAGAGTCTTGAAGTATTCCCCGTCCTCGACCTGAGTCCCGTCCGATTCCAACACTAGAGAGACATTCTCGTTCTGTGGCACGCCCAATTTTTCCTTGCCTAAAAGACACGGTAGAAAAATACGAAACACCAGATTAGACCAGAAGAGAAAGTGAATCCAATGGGGGATGGTTGGGGTTGAAGCGTTTATTTCAACTACGAAACGAATATTTTCTGCTGCTGCTGTGCTTGAGAGAAAGAGAGAGAGAGAGAGAAAGAAAGAGGGAGAGAGGAATCTATCGGTTAAAATCGATCGGAAGCCACTCTGATCGTGTTATTCTCTATCTTTTCACATCTTTTCCTTTTTCTCTCGTTATTATGAAACTCGCCTGACCGACGATTCGGGTAAATGTTCTGCATTAAAAAAAAAAAAAAAAGAAAAGAAGGCGATACCTTGCGACCAGTAATCCAATATCTTGTGTGTCGTGAAAGGAAAAAAAAAGGCACGTTATGTATATTTAATTATGTCGTGTATCGGAGCAGCGGATTAATCGCGAGATATCGAGCAACGAAGCATGATCTCGTGGCTCCAAGGATTCGAGGTAGAATATCCTCGACTTTCGCTAGCGTCTTCCGAGGGCACGTTTCTTACCCCGGTGTATCAGTTCCTCGAAATTGCTAACAACCAGTCCTTTTCTTACGTTACGCCAGCTGTCCCATATCTTAAAAGGTCTCTTGCTCCGTAGCTCCTGCGGAAAAGAAAAATATCAAGCGAGTTCAATCGTACCATGGAGGTGGGTGGAAGGTGAAAAAAATACAGGGAGGAAATCGGCAAGCGATCGACTGGGCGATGGCTTACCGCGTATCGGTAAGAATCCATCAATGGAGAGGGGACAGGTTTAAATGAGACGTAATTGCGTGTAAAGAAAGCGTGAAACCCTCGAGTCGCCGTGGAAAATGCTTATCGCCTAGATGTTAAGTGGAGTGTCTGCGCCGCGCCGGGTCAACGGGAACGTAATTTACCCCTACGTGTTTTATACGCGACAACTAAGTAGAACAGACTATAAACAAAGCCTATCACGCGCCTCGCCTCAGAAATTATTATCGAATATCCATATATCCTTGCTGCAGGCCGCCTAGCACGCTTGCCTTCTCTACGTTATTACAACGATGCGACGAATTTCCCCTTGAAAAAGAATCTGTTCACCGCGGCTAATCGACGCGAGCGTTACACGACACGGAGGAAACTAGGACATACAGGACCAAAAACAGTATCCCAAGTCCGGTGGCGTGCAAATTTTCAGCAAAGTTCACCGAGCCGGCCCATCTCACGTCTGTCTGATGCAGAGGGGAGAGAGGATCCGCTCCTGTTATCCTTGATGAGAATAATAAAAAAAAATCCTCGGGGATTGGTAGAGGGGATCGAGGCTGGAAAAGGATTCGATGGCGCGTTACAAAGGGAGAGATCTACTTTTGTTTGGCAAACACCTCTGTGGAATGTGGTGGCTGCGTGTTGGTAGGCAGTATCACGGGGGGTCGAGAGCACCGAAGAAAGGGCGGCGATTACTCGATTATCGGGGTTAAGGGGTCTCTGGATCAGGCAACGGGGACTCGCGAACGATATTAGAATAATGCCAGAGCCAAAGAGGAATATTATGTTTGGGTTGTCCCTAGTTTTCAACAGGGAGGCGCAAAGTGAACAGGGCGCAGACGCAGGCGCAACTTATGGTCGAAAACACTGACCTGATTCAATCATTCTCGGGTAACCGATCAAAAAAAAAAAAAAAAAAAAAAAAAGGAAGGAAGAAGAAGAGAGAGAGAGAAGAAGAAGCAGCGGAAGAAGAAGGAGGAGGAGAAGGGACGAAAAACTGGGGAAAAAGGGGAGAATAGAGAGAGGGTGACTGGAAAAATGCAACGCTATTAGCCGCGAGGGTCACACGCCTCGCTCGGCGTGTTGCTCCCGTCCCGGAAGGGAATACCACTCGATGCAGCTTCCTCTAGAGAGCTTATCTTGGTAAACAACGCCACGAATACACTCGATCCACTAGACATTTAAATATAGGCCACGTTGATCCCGTGGAATACCGTGAATGATAGTAAAGCATAACCTAAAAGGGTGCGCTGCGCTGACCAGCGTACGCAGTCGGAAACTGGAGGAAACTGAGAAACGTTTCTACAGCGGGACTACGAGGAATTCTAATTTGATTCGTGCAAAAGACACGACGAGGTAGGCACGGTAGAAGGATGGCATCGGAGGAGGGTATGCGGTATTTCCTAGCGCAAAACCGCACGGTTCTATGCGTGCGTACGCGTGATGCGTAAACTAGCTGACATGGATGCACTCGCGGGCGAATCTCGCGTTCGCCAAGACGATACCGAAGGAACGAACGTAAATTGGGATCTGGAAGAACGTCTAGAAGGAAAGGGTTCAGGAATCGAGAGGAGACATCAAAGACGTAGCTAGTTCGTATAGTAGAGAATGCAAAGGAAATGCGTACCTCTCTTGCCATTACGTCATATCCCTGCAGGTAAGGGACCGTCCCAGCAAGCACTTATTCAGAAGGAACGAGCAAGGAAGCTGCAGGTCGCATTATCGCGGCGACGGGATGCTCTCGTGCACTACTGTCCGCCCAGCCTCGCTCTCTCTCACTCTCTCTCCCTCGCGCACTCTCTTTCTCTTTCTCTCCCTCCCTCCCTCCCTCTCTCTCTCTCTCTCTCTCTCTCCCTGCCGTTTCTCTTGCGTCCCTTGCTCTTCGACCGGGTTCCTCTCGCGATCCTCTCCGACTCGTGCACCCTGTAGACCGAAACACCTTGGATGCGACACCGTTCCTCTCTTTCTCACTCTCTCTTTTTCTATCTATCTCTCCCTCTCTCTATCCTTCTCTCTCTGCCTGAGTCGCCCTCCTTCCCTCTTTCTATCTATCTCCCTCTCCCTCTCGTTCTCTCTCTCCCTCTCTGTCTCTATCTCCCTCTCTCCCTCTCTCTCTCTCTGTCTATCTCTCCTGTGTTGGTCGGTCAGTCTCGCTGGATTTCCGCACTGTATGTCGCGCGAGGCTCGTATCAACGCGCGGGCCGAACGCGAGCGACCACCTCGCGGGAACACCTCATTCTAGCTGCGTCTCTCCGCGTACAATTACCCGATCTAAGATTTCACTAGCGCATATGGGGGCAAATTGTAACAGTGGCTTCCTCCCAGCGGTTACTGCGGCGACTCCTAGTTTTAGATCGATTCTCTCTCGGTATACGTACAGACACCCTCGCCCTCACCCTCGCCCTCGCCCTCACCCTCACCCTCTCGCCCTCACGGCCTCTCCTTCGTTCTCCCCACGAGTTTCACCCGCAACAACCTCGCCCCACGCGCGCCTCTCTCTTCCGACTGACGACCACTGCCTCCTCGAATCACCCACGATCTTCCCCGGTGGTGGCTACCCAGTTCCACGCTTCGCTACCTAGTCCCAGACGGTGCTGCCTGCATCCCTCTCAATCAACCTTCTGGCGATTCTCCACATGGTAAAGCCTCACCCCTGCCTTACCCTTTACTCTGTCGATTACTACTATGCTCTTTTCTTCCGAATGTTTTTTTTTCCTTTTTTCATCGATCACACGTCACTGGAATTTTCGTGTGAGATTAATCGAGGGAACGTTAAGTCGCCTTTGAAAGTTCGGCGAATCGTAAGATGTGCCACTAACGGCAACATCCGTGGATGAATGATCGACGGACGGTTCGTTGATTGTTTGAACATTTTGCAGTTTAGCGTCTGCCTCTGTTTCGCTACACTGGCTATACATTGTTATTCGAAGACAGGTGCGTGACTGTTTGGCCAACGCGTTGTTACCCTGGCAGCCCCTTGACAACCACACACGCATCCGTAAATAACAAGGTAAGGTGTTCTTTCAGCGTTCGGTGGAGAAACCGATGATGATCAACATCAGTCATCCCAAGATCCACGGGAAACCTCCCGTGAACAGACAAGCTCCTCCGGTCAAAGATATCGACTCGAAGCGAAAGGAAATTGATACTTCTGTCGGTATGACGCAGTTAGAGAAGGCGGACTATAATCAGAACGTCGTTGATTCCACCACGTGCTCGTTCGAACAGCTCTGCAGCATGATCAGTGATCTAGAGAACGACATCACCGGCAAAGTGCCAGAAATCGATCAATTACAGGTTCGAGGAATAAAATTAACGGTCAATATTTACGATCGATTCGATCGATGCAACCTTTTCATTCCAGCTGGAACCGGAGAAAGACGAGTCCATGGAGAAACAGAGAATAAATGGAACCACGTACGATGACATAATGTCCCTCTTGGCGAAACTCGAAGAGGGTAGCTGCCAGTAATTTCATTGGTATCATATTAAGATTTGTCCTCGCATTTGCCTCGCGACTTCTAACAGTTGCTTCATAAATCGCAGGTTCCACGGACAAGCTGAATATAGTACTACCCGAAGTAGATGCCACGATTTTTGGAGAGATATTCAACGATCCTCAAGCATTGTCTTGCAACAACTACGACAGGTGAGAGAGAAAGAAGTTTCTCTTGAGAAAATTTCCGAATGAAATCTTCCAATTCCCTTCTTCGTCTTCTTCTTCAGTATAGGCTCGATAAAAGCGTTCAAGGACGACTTAGCCACAGCGCGATTGGAACTGGAAGAAAAGAATGCGACTATATCGCTGCTGAAGGAACAGTTCAAATCCGAGAGGAAAGTGGCTTGCGACAAACTGAACGCTCAGAAGAAGAGCAGTATTTCCAAGTTGCAGCAGCAGGAAGAGAAGTACAAGGGTGTCGTGAAGAGGCATCAGAAGTTCATCGAAGAGGTGATCTCTGAAAAAACCAATCTGACTGAGAAATGTAACTCGTTGGCACAGAGAGTGAAAGAGATTGAGATAAAAATGCAGAGAGACCTGAAGGCTGCGGCCGACAGACATGCAGTAGAGCTGCAGAGAGCGAAAGAACACTATGCCGCGGCGGAGAAGATCAAGCGTGAACGATGGATAGAGGCCAGAACGACGAAAATTAAGGTATCTTTTTTCCTTTTTTCTTTATAATGAATCTCGACGAAATTTTCAATGGCTGGTCGTTTCTTCGAGGAAATGACTGTGAAGGGTCTGGAGCCTGAGCTACGTAATATGATGGAGCAGCATGCGGAAGAAATTCAGAGGCTGAGAAACGTGCACATGAAGGAGCTACAAGACGCTGAATTGAGAATCATACGAAGATCTAATCAACAGTTGGAGCAACTGCGTCTAGAACTGACTTCTAGCCATGAAAGAATGTTGACAAACGAGAAGAATATTCTGTGGTCCAGGTGCGGGAGAAATCTTTGCAACGAAATACATTTGAAAACGACTGATATTATATTTACCTCGCTTACTACCATTACCAGATACCAAGAGAAGCTGGAGGAGCAAGAGAATCAATTTAAAGCCCAACAAACGAAGCTCCTGGAGGAATTGCAGCGCGATAGAGAAAAGTTTGGCAAAGAACTGGCGAAACGGGACGCTGAAAAGGACGCCTCTTTACAAAAGATGCACTTACAGTATCAGGTAGAACTAGAATTGAAAGTCTTGAAACTTTCATGTACATATCAGTCTTATGTACTGAAAATTTCAGCAAGAAGCGGAGACTCTGAAGCAACAGCATTCGAACGAGAAAAAGACTCTTCAGGAATCGTTGAGGATGGAATGGGAAGCTTGGTTGGCCGACTATAAGAGGCAACAGAACTTGAGAATCGAGCAAGCTCAGAGTAAGATTCGAGACGAATGCAACAGGGAGAGAGATCGACAAATCGAACTTGCGATCGAACGTCTGGAGAAAGATTCGCGAAACGCCAAGTTGACGATTCAACAAACTTTCGACTGCAAGCTTAAGTACTATCGTCTCGTTACCGATTCTATCTGTAATCAATCTAGAATCCTTGTAGATCTTGTACTGTGTTTTTAGGTGTTTGAGGGAAAAGTTCAAGATGGACGTACAAATCGCGATCGACAATGAACAACTGCACAAAGTTAAATTGACACAGACCAGGGATAAATTGGAGAAAGCTCAAATTCATTTACAACAAGCGGAGAAGAAGTTGCAAGAATCTACGTCTGAATTGAATAATGCGAACGAGGTAGGATCCCTTCTGAATTTCCAGACAAATCAGTTTCCAATCGTTTAAAATAACTAACCTGTACCCTTTAGCTAATTAAGCGGTTAAACATAGAGAAAGAGAACGCGAGAACATTCGCGAGGCAAGAAATCGAAGGAGAGAAAAGAGAATTGGAGGAAAAAATTGCTTCGCTTTATCAAGAAATAAGTCGTATTAACGCGAACAAAGAAGTCTCGATGGTTCAATTACACAGCAGGTTCGTCATTAATTGATCGAAGACTCGAGAATAAACACGATATTCCTATTTTTAATCATTCTGTAATATTTCAGGATTAAATTAGTAATGACACAAAAAGTTTTAACAATCAAAAGTCTAACCAAAGAGCTTAACGATGCAAAATCAAAATGCGAGCACTTGGAAAAATTATTGGACCAACAACGGAAAGAATATATTTTGAAAGGTTTGTAAATAATAATTGAGATGTGCACCGGTTATACGTTTTATTTGTTGTGTGTGCTGGTCTTTTGTACTTTTATATAAAATAAATAAAATCATCTCAAATAGCGTATGTATCTAGTAATAATTTATACATTTATTTGATATAAAACTAATCTTTAACCACTCCTAGTACTTATTCGTGGATACATGACGAAGGATATTTCTACATGTTCGTTTCTAATTTACGTAATTATCGCACCCTATTATCAGAAAAATATTACATATTTCTGTAAGTGACGAAAGATTAATTCACAAAAGCCTCGATATCTTTAATAATAAAATATTGAATCGCTATAAAAAATTCGTTTAACTTAATTTCTTCTGTTTTAATATTAAACGCAGATTCTCCGATAAAATTACACTTTTTTCACAATCTGCACGACATCTTCGTCGCATAATACGTGATCTTTTCCAACTTTTTGTGGTTGATGCTTGACAGACGATCCCCACACGAGAGCACTAAAAATAACGAAAAGTTGATTGGTCATCGTCAAATGTAAAATGTGAAACACACAAGTAGTATAAAAGTCAAGACTTACTATTTAAATTCTTTCGCGATTGATCGATGAAGTTTATTACAAAAGTCTTCGACTGTCCGTTTCTCTCTGTTTAATACTACGGGAGAATTATAATCCGGAAGTTGACCCTTGGGTTTTGTATAGCTAAACGAAAGAATCAAATAAATAAAGCAATGATTTATCGAAGCCAGGATTTTTCTCAGACACTTACATTCTAACCAGCTGCAAATAATCCCACATTTTTTCCAGCAGGTCATCAAAATTCCATTTGTGGTGAGCAGAAATAGGTACACAGTGTGGTATTTTGTAAATAATATCTAATTCCTCGATACTAATTTGATCTAGAATCAAATGAAAATAATTGTAACGAACACTGGAAGTTTTATCGGAACAATTGTCAACGGTCACATTACCTATTTTGTTGAGCAAATAAATACACGGTACGTAGACGCGATTTCCCTCGATAACATCGATCAGATCGTCGGATGTGGCGTCGTATCGCAAAGTAATGTCTGCATTGTGAATTCTGTACTCGGATAGAATAGTTTTCACTGTTTCTAAGTCCAGTTCCGATTGTATGCACTGACAAATAATGCAACTATCTTAATGTTATCTCTTTCAAAGAGTTGCATGATTAACTACTTTAAAAAATTATATCTCATTTTTCTCGCTTAATTACCGTAGTCTGAAAATTAATGCCACCTTTATCCTTCTTTCGAAAATTAATATTTGGTGGATGTTTGTTCAATCTTAATCCAAAGCCTTCCAATTCATGTTCAATTAAACGCTTATGTCCAAGTGGTTTCAACACATCCAGGACTATGAATATTAAACTGCAAGTTCTAGCAACTGCAATAACTTGTCTTCCACGACCTTTACCATCTTTTGCACCTTCTATGATACCAGGGAGATCCAGCAACTGAAACATATGTATATTGTCAGATGTAATATATATGTATATAAAGATTTGTTAGAGAAAAGCATATTTATAACAATATGTTTAAAAAAACCTGTATTTTTGCACCCTTATACTTTATACAACCCGGTACAGTAGTGAGAGTTGTAAATTCATATGCTGCAACTTCAGAATAGACACCAGCAAGAGTACTCAATAATGTAGATTTACCCACAGAGGGAAAGCCTATGATTTTGATAGAAATTAAATAAAATATTGACCAATTTGAAGTTTTTCATTTCATTATATTATAATGCTCACCAACAAAACCTATTCTAGCATCACCAGTTTTAGCTACTTCAAATCCTTGTTCCCCACCACCACCACCACCTTTAGGAGTTATAAGTTCTCGTCTCAGTTTAGCAAGTTTTGCTTTTAATAATCCTAAATGGCCAGATGTAGCTTTATTTTTTTGAGTACGAGCCATCTAAAAATAAAATTATGCTATAATAAATTATACACAAACCAAATATTAAGCAAATAAAAAGTAAGTAGAGGTTACCTCGGCTTCGATGGAAGCGATTTTTTCTAATATCGTACTCATTTTGAATTAATCGAATTTATTGTATTTCCTTTAACTTGTAATACGTTTAAAACAAGTTTCACTTAAGCCCTTTCACGTTCTTCCATTACAAAATTGCGAAAATATTTAGCTACATAAGTTTTGCACGTGTGACATGTTACAGGCACATGTTACACACTTTAAAGAAATCAAATCATGCAGCCTTTAGGTACTGAAAAACAGAAAAAGTTAAAGCTAGTTATCAAACACAATATGGAAATTAATATAAATATGAAATATTAAAAACATTATACAATATACAATGGATGAAATGTTTATTCGAATTAAGTATATAAATTATATTTATCGCTTACACGTAAAATTCTTACTCAATCATGTATGATGTGTTAAAAAATTTATTTGATGTCCTTCTTTCTGCTTTCTACTACGTTAAAAAACTGTACAATCAATTAAAATACATTTCACGTTCTGTTACAGGTAAATTTGATACATTCGACACAGTACATCAGTAATTCTTTATCTCATCAGTATAAAATGAGGGGAAAAAAGAAAAAATCCAAGAATTTATTTAATAAAAGAATTTATAAAAATAACGGTCTGTTGGAACATTGTAAATCTTGCTACATTAGTTAGATAAATATTATTATTAACATTAGTTAGACAATTCTAAGTAAAAATGACTAGAAGGAAAAATGGCTAGAGGAAAATGTAGAATGTATGCTCGAATGCGATTAATTACTTATCGTAACAGTTTTCGTTTACTCTATCTTTGTTTCATATATTTCTGCTCTATACATATATGTATGTATTATATGTATACAAATGTATAGATTTTGATTGAAGATGCAATGTTACATGCCATATACATATGTAATATATGGTATTGTTAAGCAAAATATGTTAATTTTAAAATGTCATGTTGATCAGTTAAATAATGATATATTATGGGTGACAATTTAAAGACGAAATAAGAAGGCAATAAAGTACGTTTCTCGATGTTTGATATTATATTACATCTTATTACATGTATACATTCTTATTAATAATTATTCCACTGCACGTATAGAAATGTTAATAGAATATAATATAAAAATGTCAGAAAAGTACAGGAACTATATATTACTCTCTCCTAATACTTTCTAATGTCCAATTTATTAATTCGAAATTGTAAGAGCAATGATTTACGCGGGTTTTTAACCTTAGTAAACATTTAGTTTACTAATCATTTGTGATAATTAAAACAGGGAGGATAAAAGTGTAACGTGTAATACATTTAACTATTCCTTTTCATAAATTTTTATAACATGTGAGAATGTGAATTTTTAATGTTTATATGTTTTTGAATCTATTAAACAAACCGAAAGTTCGTCATATACAGCATATATAAATATTTTTGGACATGGCAAGACTACTATATTTCTATTCCTATAAGATGGATAAATGAAAGTAAAATTATTAAAATTATATTTATTACGTATTTATACATAATTAAAAAATTTGATCGGTAAACCACACACATAACCTATCATAGTGTGACGCTCGGAATAAAACTATACTTAATCATCATGCCAGTTTTTCAAGAGTCGTGCGCAGAGGTGATGTTTATTGTCATAATATATTAATCTGAGAAAATGTTGTGGTATGTACAATCTTTTTAATTGTTGCATTCCAGCAAATTCAAGCGCAAACAATTGTTATAATCCATCCTGGGTCTATGTACCTCAGGATGGGACGAGCATCTGACTTGAATCCTTGTACTATTTTAAACGCTGTTGCCCGAAGGCGTTTGCCAGGAGGATTAGAGTATAAAGACAGTTTATTACCATCTGCTGTACCACGGGTAAGTCTTTATCAGTTAATATTTTCAGAAAAGTGTTTTACTTTTCATTGTTTTCAGTAGACAAAGGAGCTGACACAAGCAATGGAAGAATCACGTTTGCAGGTGTCTCACACATTACAATCTTGTCTTCAATCTGATGGAAGAAGAAGATATGCTACACCACCCCAACAAATAGCTGCCTTTAACCGTAGATCAAACCCAGAAATATCCTCCCCATGTAGCGTTGAATGGATAAAAACAGATAAAGATGTTATAGTCGGGGACGATGTATTATCGTTAAATCCAGACGATAATTTTAACATTCATTTTCCATATAGAAGGGGAGAGCTTAATGTTCATTCTGGACCTGGTGGTAGTCTGAGGTCTGTTATGGCTGACTTAAAAACCATTTGGGAGTATGTTCTTACAGAAAAGATGGACATTCCTTTAAGAGATCTGAAACATTATCGAGCTGTCCTTATAATACCAGATATTTATAACAGACAGTATTTAAAAGAACTAACAACTTTGATGCTCTGTGATATTGGATTTGGAGCCTGTTTTTTATTACAAGTTGGTAATAATTCCTTTTTTTCATGAGAAATGCACAAAGAGTTGTAATATTAATGTAATATTACATTGGGTTTCAAAGGATCATGTAGCAGCTACGTTCGGCGCAGGATTAGGATATGCATGTGTGGTTGACGTTGGAGATCAAAAAACGTCAGTTTCTTGTGTAGAAGATGGAATTTCTCATCGAAATACCAGAGTGCGAATGGATTACGGAGGAGGAGATATCACACAAACCTTTTTTTGGTTGCTCCAGAAATGCGCCTTTCCGTACAAAGCGTGTGATCCTTCTAATAAATTGGATGCGTTACTCTTGAGCCAATTGAAAAAAGATTTTTGCCACGTCGATTTAAATGTATGTGGTTCTCAAGAGAAGACATTTGTAGTTAGGAAACCCAAACAACAAACTGAGAAATATACTCTTCAAGTTGGCGACGAGTGTTTGGTGGCACCTTTAAGTTTGTTTCAGCCAGAATTATTTAAAGTTACTGGAACACATAATGTACATATCCAAAAGAGATCCATGGGAGATCCAGAAGATCCACACGATGAAAACTACTTACGTGAAACCAGTGTAAGTTAAAATCTGTGTGTGCTGAAGAAGGTATGGTTAGTTTTAAAATATAATTATATTTCAGAGAAGAGGCATGAAAGAAAATCTTGAACAAACTTCTGAAATGCAAGAGGAAGCAACTGCTCCAACAGCACCAGGGGAAGAAGAAGTGGTCGTAGATGCTGTTGATTCTGCGCCGATTACCTTATCGAATCGCGATTTGGATGCTCCACGTGATTTCATAGTAGGACCACAGCAACTTTTGGGTCTTGATCATGCAGTACTCCAAAGTATTGATCGCTGTTGTACGTATACTTTACGTATACTTCACGTATACAACGAATACGATCGACATGCACAATGAAATTTAATGATATTTAACACTTCCCACAGCTACAGAGGATCTGAAAAGAAAAATGTATAGTTGCGTGCTCGTTGTCGGTTCTGGTATGAAGTTCCAAGGTATAGGTATGTGGCTGCACAATCGGATTTCTCTTCAGATTCCCTACATGTACAGAGCTGGTACGTTTCTTTGTGTGACAGTTTTTAATTGCAAAAAGGATATTAAATTTTATACTTTGTATGTCTTATATAGAACAATTAGACATCATAACACAACCTAAAGAGATGGACCCAGGTATGACAGCATGGAAGGGCGCCGCAATTTTGAGCTGTTTAGAATCTGCTCAAGAATTATGGATTGGCCGGCAAGAATGGGAACGTACCGGTGTTAGAGTATTAAGAGAAAGAGCGCCATTTATGTGGTGAAAATGTTTCAACTTTTTCAAATTTTTTATTTTAAATATATTAATATAAAATTTGCATTTTGCACACAATAATTATACCTATAACATATCCATTAGTCTAACTTTACTTTTATCATTTCTATGATACATAACTATGTCAGCTTCAATAAGGAAATGTACAAATACCAAATGTTGTGGGGTAATATTCACGTACAAATCATCACCCCCTTTTGTATATGCACACGTTAAATCCTAAAAATGTGTATCCATTTTCATTTGTTCTTAGACAATACGAAAATTGTTTAAAGTATATATTAAATGCTTACCTCTAGAAATTTCTCGAAATTTCGATTGTTTGGAAACAGTTTCTGCACTACGAGGTACTAGCATATAAATATAATTATGATAAATAAGATTTTTTGTTAATAAAAATTTTATTAAATTCGTACTTTTTTAAACATACCAAATCATTTTTTGTACTATAAAATATGCGTTTCAGTAGATGTAATTCCTTATCGTAATTTGTATTGTTTGTCAGTTCGGTTGCGTCTAAGTAAGTTTCTTTCATCTTCTTCAAGCCCTCTTTTTTGCTTTTTAAGCTGCAATAAAAAGGAATGATTCAATAGGATTCCGAATGAAATTAAGCATGAAACGACACTTTATCATTTTACGAACAAGGATATGTCATCTTCGATTTCTGAAAGATACGTTTCCGTTTTATCCAAAAGTTGTTCAACAGTTCGAACTTCTTCCTCTAATTCCTTTAAAACTTCAAAATGCAAATCAGACGTGTTCGGAATGGGATAATCTTTGGGTATTTCTTCACGAATCTGATTTGCTAAACTTATACACAATTTGTGTTGTTTTTTTCTCACGTCCTCTGGATTACAAGAAGCGTTCAAAGTGACTGGACCATTATTCAAAGTATCAGTTAATAATTGCTCTATTTCTTCTTCACGCTCCGTTTCAATGTCTTTTAGAGTTTCGAGAGCATCTTCCAACGTATATTCCATGTTTTATTTCTGTTGATAAAATGTTGAACTGAATCATATAACTTTCTTATAAAAACGCGGGAAACTTAACCCTTTGGAGAATGGGTGACGTTCAACTTGGAATGACCAATAGCATGAAAACGTAATATTTGTCGCGATAACATATACGCGTACATACGAAGCACCGAATTATATTACGAGTCCTAGTCCACACTTTTCACATTTTTATACGTTTAAAATACATTCATAACCTATATCATCATTTCATAGAGTAGTACTTCTTAACGGATAAATATTTTCTTATTCCTAATATTCCGATTAGTTAAATAATACTGTACATAAGTGTCCATATGCATTATTCAAAAGATTACTAAATCTGGTTTTCATTGAATACTTTGTGTTTCTAACGAAATGGACACTGTTAAGACTTATGGAACTGATCTGTGATTGGTACTTTTTTTGTTAATCAATTACTACACGAGCTCGTTAAAGCCAGATCTGACGTCTGCTAAAATAGAGGTTAGGTAATTCTAACTTGCAAATATGATGTCCAGTCGAATAAACTTAATTATAAGGAATTTTTATAAACGACCTGGACAGTATTGTCGTTTGTGTTCAACAGTTTCACGGTCAAGTAAGTAGAACGAAGTTTTCTTTCGTTTTCTCTTACGAAAAGGAACATTTTAATAAAGTATAGGTTATGTTTATCTGTGTTTACAGTAATTGTAGTAACTTTCTAAATCGTTTACAGCAAATGAAAAGGATCCTGCATCGTTATTTTTCAATGAGAACGTACAAGAGTATTTGACGACTTTAACTCGTATTAATTATGAAAAGGTTTTCTCAGCACGCAGAGATGGAACGCCCTTAGATGTACCAAAATATAAATTCATGACAGACAAAGAATTGCAAGAAGCACGAGCGAAGATATCGACGAAAGCAAAGGGACGGATTCAAATGCCACCGGTTGTAAAAATAAGAGCAGAGCCTGAAATTTTATCTAAAGATGTTGCATTACAAGGCTTATACATGCACAATATTGTCTTCACAGACATATCCTTTGGAAGCAACAATAGAAACAGATTAATCGTGGTTAGAGAACCAAATGGTACATTGAGGCATGCCAATAGTAACGAAAGGCATAGAATGAATCAAGTATATTTTCCTATTTCCAACAGAGAGGTACACATCCCAGAGATGTTTAAAAATCCATATTTGAATGTAAGGAAGTTTGACTTTTACAGTGGAAATATTTAATTTGTGTTTACAATACCTACATAATTAGAATTGGTTATGTGTGTTGCAGAATTTATTGGAGAGGGAAGAATTTGAATTTATTTTAGACAGAGCATGCATACAGTTCGAACCTGATGATCCAGAATACCATAGGATCACGAAAGAAGTATATTCTTATGTGAATAAAGTGGGGAAATTCCAAAGTTTGAGATCTACCAGGCACTTTGGTCCAATGGCATTTCACCTTGCTTGGGAAGACAATATTCACACCTTACTGATAGACGTGATCAAAAGTGGAAATATAGAAGAAGCTGGGGCATTGATACGACTTTATAATAAAATCCATCCTGAGGCTAAATCAGGCAAAGAACCAATATTCGACGATGCGGAGTTAGTAAAACTTTACGCTACACTCGATTCATCGAAGCAATACGCGATAATGTCTGCCTTGAACACGTACGAAACAATACAGAACGAGAGAGAAGAAATGAAAGAGAGTATATTGAAAGCTCACGGGTTGACGAACAGCATCGATGAAAGATCAGAAACGTGAACGAACGTTTAGCTCGTTAACTTAACCGACAACCCCTCTTGTTCTTTACCGTTTGTACAAATCCTTATTGTGAATAATAAATAAAAATCGTTATACATTGAGAAGGCAAATTGGTTGATTATTAATCGATTATTTTATTACGTGATAGTTACTTACAAACATTTACAAATGTAACAAGTCAATTCGATTTGGCGTACAGGATCGTCGGAAAACATTACATATCGATTATTGGCTAAACGTTATGGAAAAACTAAATCGCGTTCGGGTTCCGCTTTGTGTCTAGCGGTTGACAGACGAGAGGCGTGTGTCTATCGTCACACCTCTCTGAAGGGGCGTAGGTATACGATATAATTGTCGGGCCATGGAACAGGTGAGAGGTGTGCAGTACGTGAAATGGGCGACGCATACTTCTGGGAATAAATTAATCGATGAACGAACGAGGAACAGAGGGAGGGGATCGAATCGGTGTGAATGGAAAGCAGCTTTGTACAAATGCAAATTATGCGACTGGAGACTGTGTGTAAGTAAGTACCTACTGTCATGAATGGAACAATATACAAGTCCGATCGCAAGGATCGAACGAGAAGTGCTTGTTCGTTGGGATCATGTACCGTCTTGATAAACACTCGCAACTGAATATTCTGTGTGTGTGTGTGTGTATGTATGTATGTATGTGTGCTGTGGGCGCGCGAGCGTGTGTATGCGTACGTGCGCGTATGTGTGTTGGTGATCGATCGTTATTATCCATATCTTACTCGTATTACTCTTAATCGTTATATGTATATTACTTATTACTTCCATATAGATGCGTGGATTTTTCGTGGTGTACGTAGAAAATAAATAAGAGGACGATTACGATCGCGTAAGTAGACGAAAGAAACTTACTAATCCGCTATTGGAGGGAAACAGCGACGAAAGAAAGAAAGGCTTGAAGAACCGAGCGAGACGAAAGAAAAAGAAAAAGGAGGAAACGGAAAGGAAGAAGCACGGATTTTCCAATCTATAGGCTATTAGGCCTCTCGAAGCAAAGTATGCGCGTATCGATTATATATAAGTGTGTACCATGGATTTCTGTCGAGCATTGGCAAGCAGCACGGACACCTTCTCTTTCGCCATTCTAAATCGATATATCTCCGCCGTCCAATGCTGATGCAGAAAATTTGGATTCGCGTTTCTTGACAACTGACGCGATTCAAGCGAATCAATTAATCGGCTAATCGAATTAGGAATGAACGTTTTGGGCGAGGCATCACGCGTTGGTCCTCGAGTCGTTCCAGACCGTGTGTCTCGGTCGGGCGAGTGAACGCGCTTTCCGAAACGAATCGACGAACAATCGCGTCGCGTTCACTCGCTGCATTTCGATTGGTAAATATTGAGCAATGTTCCCCTTTCAATAATCTTGCCCCTTTTTGTCCGTCGAGAAAACAACGATTTTCTCGCGGTCGCTCTCTCCTCCATAGCGCGTTTCCCCTCGAGCTTCTCTTCCCATTTTTCTTCGATCAAAGCTACCTAAAAAAACGTACGGGCCTCTTTTTTTTTTCACAGAACACCGTGGCTTACAGGAAAAATACGGTGTTGCACCTTGTGCGCGATTCCTAAAGACACAGACGCGTACTATTTATGCTCCTCCCCGACTTCTGCTCCTCTATCTACCTAACTATTCGCTTAAATACTCGTTTATATGTATACGTATATAAACCTTCCTCTTATTCCTGCCTGTATGTTTCGCGTATATAAATTTCTCGTTCGTTCGTTCGTTCGTTCATTTCATGGAGTATAGTAAGTATTCATACGTATGCACGATAAGTGGACGAGCCCGCTTAATAGTGATCGGGTCGATTTTGTCCAGTTGAGCTCGTAGAGAAAACGCGGAATAGGAAGAGCGACAACGACGACGACGACGACGACGACGACGACGACGAGGATGAATCATTTTTTTATCTTTCTTTCTTTTTTGGCACAATCGTCGCCGCGAAAGGTTGACGCTCGATGATACTTGACCAGGAACTCGATATCCGAACTGTCGAACGTTCGCATTATGCGTTCCGAGAAAGATTCCGCTTGTCGTCCGTTTTACGATTATTATTACTATACCGTTATTAATTATGATAATCGATATTATAAATTACGCGTGACTCGCTCTAACTTCTCTACGCTGTTACTCTAATTCATTTTCCATTCTTCCTCGTTATTTCTCGTTTCTCATCCCAATATACCAATCCACCGCAGAGGTTAACTCGCGAGCACGACTTCAGCGGCCACCTTGACGCTCCGCTCGAGCAATGATCGGCTTCTCGGTCACAGAATATCTGTCTCGTATATTTTACTGGTGGTGGTGGTCATGGTGGTCGCGCTCGGAACGCTGCTCGACATAGTGGATATCGCGCTAGAGAGGGACGCAGGCCCGCTGGGAGCTGCGATCGCGGTTGCGCCACCCAGGTTCGACTCGTTCGAGTTGATGCTCGTCGTGATCGCGCTCGTCCCCGTATTAGACGCAGAGTTCGTCGCCGAGTTGCTGTTACCCAGCTGCGATTGCTCGTTGCTCTCCTCCTGTCGCGTTCTATGTCCACCATCCACGGAAATCGCCTCCTGCGAGACAGCAGGTTTCGCGGTCAGGCTGGTCAAGGATCCAGAGGTAGCCGCGCTCAATCCGAGCCCCATCTTGGCCAACAGATTGCTCTCCGAGCCGGTTTTCTTCAATAGATCAGGCGGCGCTGGTGGAACGGTGGTAAGTCCCGCCGTGTTCCTCTGCAATTGCTGCAATCTCGCGTACTGTTCCTGCAGCGCTTTCTGCTTGCGTAGAAGCTCCTGGTGTCGTTGCTCCAGCTGTTCCTGCCTGCCCTTCTTGCTCTGCATGCCTTCCTGAGAATTCACGCTCTCGCACGAGCTCGAATTACTGGTCGATAATACTGCCGAGGACTGTGAGCTCGTTGAATTATTGTGCAGAATCGGACTGGGTCCCTGTGTTTCCAACGCTGGAACCACTCCAGAAATAGCCTCAGCTGGTAGAGCCATCGGGGGTTTGCCCTCTTTCACCGGGACCGTTCCTCGAGCTGGTGGCCTTCGCAGAGTAGCGTTTCCGCTTTGTAAATTGCACGAGTGGTTCCTGGGCGGTAGCTGAGGGCTGGTAGGACTAGCCAAAGGGGACCTAGAGCTGGTTCTCGGCGGTGGAGGCGGTGGTACCCTCCTGGCACTGGCTAGCTGAAGCAACTCCGCGTTCCTCTCTGGTACCGGTGGTTTCTGACCAGGCACGAAGCCTTGGGGCAACGTAGGCAGGCTTGGTTGTTCCTGCAATGACACCTGGAGTCTAGCTATTGGCGGAGAGGTGTCCGTGTCCGAGCTAGATGGATAAGAGTGCAGTCTCCGCAGAGTCCCTCCGGCGTTTGCTGGTCCTCCGGTTGCCACGAGTCCTCCGCCTGCTGTTGGACCCGCTGCCAGCACGCCGCTCGAAGAATCCACGCTTCCTTTTCTTCCTATGTCAGAGATGCACGGCGGTCGGACTGTAGACGATCCAGCTGCCTCTCCCCTGCTGCTTCCACCAGACCTGCCCAGCTCGGACAGCATCGTGGACGAGCCCTGCGCGTGGCCAAGCTGGGAACTCGGTCTGGAGAATGTCTGAAGCTCGTCTAACAGAGCGTCGAGTGCGTTCTCCGGACGCTGCTGATGGGTGGCGGGTGGTTCGTGAGGGTGGGACCCTCCCCCGATGACGCTCGCTGACCCCACGACAGTGCGTTCCGCTGGCACAGGGGCAGCTGCCTGTGTTCGACACGTGGACGACACTGGTTAAGTCTCCTCCTCCATTTTCCTCCTACTACTCCTCTTCGATAGACGACGATTCGCGCGGATCGAGCGATCCTCGAACGATCGTCGAAAGTTCTCTCTCTCTCGCGAGAGAGGGATTTCTCGAGAGAGAGAAATTCAGATTTTCCTTCGCTTTCGACGATCATCGAGGAGAGGTCGTCGTACGAGGCGACGCGTGCCCGTTGTATTTTCATATCGGTAAGACGAAACGGAGAAACTTGGACGGTACGGGACGTGCTCGCTCGTACGACGATGGCTCGCGGATCGACCATTCGCTTATGGGCTACGTCATGCCAGTAATACATAAGTGAAAATGTGCGCGAGTATGTATCTGCATGCAAGGTGCTTGGTGAGACAAAATGGTGAGCGATCGAGGGCTATAGAGCGTGATAGTGACAGATCGAGAAAAAAAAAAAAACGATAAAAAAAAAAGAAAACGTGAGAAAAGTAGGCGTGAAAAAGTAGGATGACCGAGAGATCGGAAGGCGCGAGATCGATCGAACGATGCGAGTCGATGAGAGATATACACGACAGATATACAAGATCAATGGTAAATATACGTATTAGATTCCGTATTAGATAGTTACCTGCGGTCTGGGTTATACGTTTTGTGCGTGCGTTGTGCGTGTTACAAGTCAGTACTCGTTTGGGGCTCTTTTACATTTGGCATCGATTGTTGTCCAGTATTAGTCAACTTAAAAAAAAAAACAGAGAAACCAAAAATCAAAAATCCAAAATCAGACTAGCCGCGAGTTTTCGTGTCTTAATCAGCGAACAGGGACGCCTGGGCGTCTCTGTTTCGCGGTTCTCCGTCCCGCATTCATCATCCGTGTTCTCTTTGTCAGTCCGTGTGAGTCGTGGAGCGTGTAGAGAATCGACGCTTACGCGGAGAGAATGTAAGAATTTTTGTTTTTTTCTGTTTTTTTTTTTTTTTCTTTTCCTTTCCTTCTTTTCGCTTGTTTTCTGTTTCGAATTTCACGATCGTCGATACTCGTAGACACGCGCCTCGACGCCGTCCTTCCAAAAAAACGAAGCTTGAAATGGCATGCAATGCTACACGCTAACGTGGAACGTGCAGAGCTCTTGTACAACAGCATATACATGTATATTACGCAGGTACGTGCATGTCGCATGCCTTATTCCTCTTTCAAATTAATACACATATATGGAGGAGCATGCTCCCAAAAGATACAGACGAGTGGTCCTCGATAGAAAAGAAACACAGGTGATATACACGGTGAGGTAAAAAGTTGGCCGATCAAAGATACACAGAATCAAAACCTTCGGTCCAATCCTTATA